CCTTTTGTAAATCAGCAGCATCCTCTTCACAGCTAGCAACACCCAAGACCTTAATATCATCTGCAAATTTAAGTAATTTATTGACTATTCCTTCATCAGTGTCATTGGTGTGAATTAAAAAGAGCAAAGGTCCTAAGACTGAGCCCTGACGTACACCACTTGTGACATTAATCCAGTTTGACTGAACTCCATTTGTAACAACCCTCTGCTTTCTTCCATCCAGCCACTCTTCTATCCAATTTGCTAACTTATTCCCCACACCTACAGAGCTAATTGTTTTTACAAGCCTTTTATGTGGAACCTTGTCAAATGCTTTCTAAAAATCCAGATACACCAAATCTACACCCTTACCCTCATCTACATAAGCAGTAACCGTTTCAAAGAATGTCAAAAGATTTGTAAGGCAAGATTTTCCCTTAGTGAAACCATGTTGACTATCCAACAAAATTCTAAACTTTGTTAAATGACTTTGCAAAGCATGTTTTATGAACCTTTCCAAAACTTTTTTCACAACTGATGTAAAACTAATGGGTCTATAATTACTGGGACAATTTTGATCACCTCCCTTGAAAAGAGGAGTTACATTAGTTAACTTCCAATCCTCTGGTACCTGCCCACTATTCAAGAACTGACAAAAAATAGCAGTAAGTGTCTCACATATCCAATCTTTAACCTCCTTCAAAACCCTTGAAGAAATATTAAGGAACCTTATCGTTCTTTAAATTTCCCATTTTTCTTAACCAACTTAGAATTAATGCAGTCATCTTGTTCGATCTCTCTTCCATCTATCAACTGTTCAAGATGTGTATAGTTTTCTTGATTTTAGAATAATAATTTAAATGTTGTTAACTTTAAAATATTCAAATTTGTATTTAAGAAAATGTATTATATTCAAAGTATGTATCATAATATTGTCTCAGGAAGACAGTATTAAATGTCTCTCTAAACCTCTCCTGAACTGTGTGTTATCCCCTCCGCTGAGGCCATTCTAGAAATGTTTGCTGCACGAGGTGTAGGAGACTACACAGCGTGGTCACAAGTAAATAGACACCACCTATTCAGAAAAAAATGAAAATTTTCAGTCATATTCACATGAATTGATATATTTATAATTTAATTAATATCTAGTAGATCTTCCTTTCGCTTCGAGGAGTTCGTTGATCCTTTGGGGCATCGTGAGAACCATCTCGTCAATTTTAGATTGTGGGATTTTTGCCCCCTCTTGCTTCAAAACTTGGAGTAGATCGCTCTTCGAAGTTGGTTTTTTTTGTTGTTTCTTGACTTGCCGAT